ACTAATTTATTTATTATGGGAGTTTATCACCTTATACACCTAAGTCGCTCAGGATCAAGGACAAAGGGTTGCATCTGTCTTTATTATGATATGTGTGATTATTGTAACATGATATTTACACTTACGAAATATATTGAAAGAAATTCTAGACTTCACCGATATTAAGGTGATGTAAATTTAGAGATAGCTGTAATTTATATGTTGCTTAGGTGTAGAACGTGAAAACCGTCCATATTAAATCAATTAAACTAGCATTATGTAAACAAAGGAGCATGTAAAGAATCAACGTTGCTAGACCATGGAATGAGTAAAGTTATATAAAGTTGCTGTAAAATATTCTGATCCAATGGTGTGTAGTAAGTCAAGTCTCACCGAGTAACTTATGGGCTTTTGATTCACTCATTGATACTCTCTGGTTTCACACCTCACGGAAAGGGTGGATTGACAACGCTGAGTGTACCAGTCGCAAATGTCACCAACTAAACATACATGTATACATACATACATGAAAACGTAACACATATATACATAACACATACACACATAATTTATACATAACACAAACATATATACACAATAACAGAATTCCATTGTGTTCTTCCTATCTGTCATACCCTGAAACATACTGATATAAACCTACTTCAGCATACAAAGTTATTTAATTTTTCTAACTTCTCATTTCTCATTCCCAATAATCATTACATTCACTTTCCAAACACTCTCTTAAAGCCTCCATTCTCACATCTTACTTTTCATTTTCCTGTTTGTACCAAGTGTAATGTTTTCCTATGTCAGTGACAGGGACTCCACCCACGTCTGTCATAGTGAGGTAATACTCGGGAAGGAGGGAGACATCATCCACAGTTATCCCATTTTAGATGTGATTTATGACTTGCAGAGCATATAAAGGTCCTGTTATTACCCATGCGTCTTACAGAGCATATAAAGGTCCTGTTATCACCCTTACGTCTTACAGAGCATATAAAGGTCCTGTTATCACCCTTACGTCTTACAGTGCATATAAAGGTCCTGATATTACCCATACGTCTTACAGTACATATAAAGGTCCTGTTATTACCCTTACGTCTTACAGTGCATATAAAGGTCCTGTTATCACCCTTACGTCTTACAGTGCATATAAAGGTCCTGTTATTACCCATGCGTCTTACAGTACATATAAAGGTCCTGTTATCATCCTTACGTCTTACAGTGCATATAAAGGTCCTGTTATCACCCTTACGTCTTACAGAGCATATAAAGGTCCTGATATTACCCTTACGTCTTACAGTGCATATGAAGGTCCTGTTATCACCCTTACGTCTTACAGTGCATATAAAGGTCCTGTTATCACCCTTACGTCTTACAGTGCATATAAAGGTCCTGTTATCACCCTTACGTCTTACAGAGCATATAAAGGTCCTGTTATCACCCTTACGTCTTGAGCATATAAAGGTCCTGTTATCACCCTTACGTCTTACAGAGCATATAAAGGTCCTGTTATCACCCTTACGTCTTACAGTGCATATAAAGGTCCTGTTATCACCCTTACGTCTTACAGAGCATATAAAGGTCCTGTTATCACCCTTACGTCTTACAGGGCACATAAGGTCCTGTTATCACCCTTACGTCTTACAGTGCATATAAAGGTCCTGTTATCACCCTTACGTCTTACAGAGCATATAAAGGTCCTGTTATCACCCTTACGTCTTACAGTGCATATAAAGGTCCTGTTATCACCCATCATTACGTCTTACAGTTATCTTAAAGGTCCTGTTATCACCCTTACGTCTTACAGACAGGGCATGAAGGTCCTGTTATCACCCTTACGTCTTACAGAGCATATAAAGGTCCTGTTATCACCCTTACGTCTTACAGTGCATATAAAGGTCCTGTTATCACCGTTACGTCTTACAGTGCATATAAAGGTCCTGTTATCACCCATACGTCTTACAGTGCATATAAAGGTCCTGTTATCACCCTTACGTCTTACAGGGCACATGAAGGTCCTGTTATCACCCTTACGTCTTACAGAGCATATAAAGGTCCTGTTATCACCCTTACGTCTTACAGTGCATATAAAGGTCCTGTTATCACCCTTACGTCTTACAGGGCACATGAAGGTCCTGTTATCACCCTAATGTCCCAATTGTACCCAGAGTGTCAGGATGAAGAGTGGTAGGGCAGTATAATAAGAAGCTGAAATATCACCGTAAATATACAGTAGTAGTAGTAGTAGTTCAGAGAGTTCAACGTCTATCATTATATCTACAGGTGCCGATGGGTTTGAGGCGTCGTTGCTATACGAACTTAAATGTTGACACAATGACTTTAGGTGCGAATCGTATTCCGGGGTAATGGTTAGCCATTGCAGTTGGCGAGTTGTCCGGTCTTCTCGGACTACTCTTTGACACTGGGTCATGCAGCTCGTTAACTTAGGGTGTGGTTGTTGTGCTGGCGACAGCTTCTCCACCTTAAACAAATTCATGCCTAGGTGGCCCTTGAGTCGGTCATCCTCGATTTCGAGGGGCTTCCATTATGCGGGATGTTTCCAAATACCATGATGGAATTAAGACGCCTCAAGTATCTTTGGAGGTAATCTAATAAGTTCCAGGAGCCATGTTCATGTGATATGACATAGTTTTAAACCATTTGCTGCTGTAAGTCACTCCAAAACGAAATCAGTTCTCGGTGCAAAAAGACGGATGAGCATAAATTGTATTATTTTATTTGTTTTTGCTATTTGTTTTACTGGGATCAGGTAGCCCTTAGTCTCATCATGGAAACCAGTTTACACTTTATCTTAAAGAAACTAGCAATACCAACTTTAAGTGATACAGCTAACGAAAAACTGATACCAGGAAGAGAAACAATGACCATAGAGGGATGGTGTGTGTGTGTGTGTGAGTATCGCCTAATGGAGTGAGATCTGGTCAAGGTTCCAAAACAACAACTGGTTATAGGGATGTGAGGTAAGAATAGGGAGTGGATGATTACCAGAGGGAATTTCACTATATTTTGTCATTGTTGAGAAGTAAGAGAATATCGTCTTGAGTTCACTAATAAAAAAAAATACAAAATGACTTGATTCCATTTGTTTAGCAGAATTTCCAAATCTCCAAAATTGTAATGATATTTAGTGACAAGGGAACAAAGTTTAAAAAAGTAGCTTTAAAATGAGAAAAATAACATGATATACAGGATAGGATCTACGGTACACACAGGCGTCTTAGTAAAAATCTCTCAATTCTGTCTGGGATGATAAAATGGAACCCCCGAGAAATGAACATTTTATATAACCCTAAGGCACAGTTTCTGACGTCAGGGAAGGAAGCGAAGGTGTACTGAAACGAGTCATGTGTAAGTCACCTCCAATAATGCCAGCTCCTCCCAACACTAGACACGGTAACAGACGAGAGAGAGTACGAGAAGTCAGACTTGTAGACCAATGCCAACACTTGACTCAGATGCTCTGTAACTGTGCATGATAGGACATTAAACTAGCAAGAACTTGAGACAAAAGAGCTTGAAGTGAAGACCGGGAGCTGTGAGGCTGCAACCTTATCATCATTAACCAAAACCAAATCATGATAAAACTATGTAAAGGTGTAATGATAATAAGAAGTTTGTTGTTAATGGTGTTACGAGTTGGGGATTTAGAATATAGTTATTCGTCTACCCAGATCCCAACAGGTAACAACAAAAAAAAAACAACAAAGACAATCGGACTATAAAAGGGTAGACAAAGGATGCGAGTTTTCGTTGTATATAATAGAGTACCATAAATCCCTTAACAAAATATTCAGCTTATAAATTACCCTTAACCAAACTTAACCTAAACATTAACAGTATATACATATTAATAAACATAAAACAATCCGAAGCAAGTGGACGTGGGGAAATTAATACAAGATAATAGTACTTAAGTGAGGAGCTGAGATGGCTGACGAGTAAGGCTGAGTATTGTAGAAGACGGTAGGTAGTCACTGCACCGTAGGTTTAGAGGATAGATGATCCTGTGGTCACTTCCCAGAGCCAAGTGCTCTCTCCTCGAATTGGAGCTCACAAAGAAGACTGAGGAGGTGACGCAACAACCAGGATAGGGAGAAGGGAAACCCCGGAGTGGTAACTAAGACGAGTCATACTCGTGTCTCGTCCCTAGATGGCGTTGCTCGTGGTGCTGGGTAGGTAGATCAGGACCATAGATGGCGTGGTTCGTAGTGCGGGGTGGAGGTTCGTAACAATGGATTTATGAGAAAGTAAAAATACAAACCGTAAAATTGTAGGTGGGAGGTGAGGGGGGTGAGGAGGGAGGGGAGGTGAGGGGGGTGAGGGGAGGTGAGGGGAGGTGAGGGGAGGTGAGGGAGGTGAGGTGGGAGGCAGGTGATGGGGGTGAGGGAGGTAAGGGGGTGAGGGAGGTGACGGGGTGAGGGGGGTGAGGGAGGTGAGGGAGGTGAGGGGGGCGATGGAGGTGAGGGGGGTAAGGGGGTGAGGGAGGATGAGGGAGGTGAGGGGAGTGAGGGAGGTGAGGGGTGTGTACTATGCTGGCAAAAAAATAATTGTCTAATTCAATGAGATCATTTTAAGCCAATTAATTCATTTTTCATTATGACAATATACTATATATGTCTACTTACCTAAGTCAATCTGTCTAGGACCATCACCGATAAGTCGCACGTGTTCCAGTATCTTTAAAAACATCCAATACTGATTACATAGTTTGTAAGAGATTTTTTTTTGTATTATTTAACTACATACATGGTCTTTACAGCGAGTTCATATTTTGGAAAGTATTATTGTATTACTTGTTAAAATGCTCAGTTTTCTAAATAACTCTAAAGCTACATTACCTTACCTCACAAGACAAAAAAAATGAGATTAATGTACGTTAAATTTTCAGAGCGATATCCGTAGTTTCTAAAAACAAATTACATTCACTATCTCTACCTCAGGAGGATGAACTGTTACTGTGTTACGAGTGTTGAGAGCTAAGTTACAAAAAGATGCTTCCCGCAGGCTGGTGCTCGTGGCTGGCAGGACCCGCCTTCGTCGACTCCCCAGCCAACGTGACGGTCAGCGAAGGATCACACGCCTTCCTCCCTTGTCGAGTGGCCAACCTAGGCGACAGATCTGTGAGTATCGCTAAAGCACACACCACCCCACTCAACACCACCCCCCACACAGCTACCCCCACACCATCTCCACACCACCACCCCCACACCCACCCCACCCTACCTCACCTCACCCCACAACAACACAACACCACATACACACACGTTCTTAAATATTTTCCCTTTGCTGTAATCGGCAACAATGTGAATGCCTTTCTTGACCGCCAGTGTGTCTGTGAGATAGTTTATTAACCAAGGTTTCAAACAGCTCCCGGTAGTACATGAAATAGTCAGACAATTACTATTACATGAAGTAAAAAGTTTAATTACACAAATATGAACAAAATTTAGAGTTACTCAATAGATCAATGTGACACAATTATTGGTACATAAACTAACATAAAATTATTTTTTATATGAACGAAGTTGTCAGAGGATGGTGGTATAATTATAAACCATAGTGTCAGTTAATCACTGCTACATAAACTAGAATGTCAGATTAAAGTTGATATATAAACAATCAGATAACAGATATATAAAATAGATATCAGAATTGTTTTGTTATATGAACTAGTCAACTATTGCTATATGAAAAAGAATTTCAATGCGTAAACCAGTGTTGGCCAATTAGCAGGGCCATTCAGAGGTAAGTTTAAGCAAGAGGGAACATAATTGTGGCCACAGGAAAGAGACGAAAAAAATAACAGAGAAAGTTAATTTAAACCATGATGGAATATAGAGGTAAATTTCTATTCAAATCATTAAGGAATATAATCTCTCGTATGTAAACCCAATTTAAAGTATATGGTAGACACGGCTTCTCATTTTATGTAATAATTTCTCTCATAAAAACGCTGTAAAGAAATATAAACTGTTTTATTATTAATATTTCTTGACCCAGATTGTCCCTGCTAGCAAGGGGTTATTTCAGTAATGGCCACATTAATGCATTTTTTAAGAATTACCATAAATCACGAGTTGAAGGAGACTATGACTGTGGTAGTATTAGATATTTAAAGGGGAGAGATACAGCTGAGGTCTTTGGCGTACAGCAATGATTAACAGGAAAATATGGACGTTAACAATGGTGGAAAGTTCAGTGTTGTCTTAAAACATGTCCAGCGGGGTCAGTAATATATGTAGTTTCTTTTATTATATACAACTTTGATCATCAACTAGAAATAGATCATCATCTTCCATAAATATGATAATTCTCTGTCATGATCAACTAAATAGTAGAGGGAGTCAGTATACAACTATACATAAAGTTTCAATTTCTTATTCAAAATTTCATATAGAAAAGTCAGAAAACTACCAGCATCTTTACAACCTGGATCTATAAATGTTCAGCCATGTGTGCGAGAGTAATACATCGATATTCATTGTTTATATTCCAATAAAATTCCTAACATGTTGAATAAAAGATAAAAGGACTACTGGATTCTCAGTCGTAAAGCCCTAACACATGCAGCCTTGAATAAACAATTACATTTCTACCTTAAAATTCATTACAACTTTCATATTTCATACAACACATCAACACAAGCTTCAACAATTCTTATGCAATCAATATAACATATAACATATGGCCTTTGAACTTTCAATGAGTTTTTGAGTTATATCCTGCGCATATAACAAAATTCTAGGAGCGGTTTGATTAAACGCTGTCATCTGCCATTGTCCAGCGTGAAGGCACAGCGTCAACCGTTCCCAGTGGCTTTTGATAATTTATACTGATATTGATATTGAAACAGTTTATTGAGCCAGAAATGTGTACAGTCGGGGTCAAAAGTCTTGAACACTTGGCAATATCTGGCATCTACTTCTGAGTTATACATTCATGGGTGGGATATACTAATAACACTACTTGTCATCACATATTATGCCTGAACCACAAAATGAGATAAAACTCTCCTTAATGCCTAAGCTCTTCGGGTACTTACATGCCAAATACTGTCAAGTGTTCAAGACTTTTGACCCCGACTGTACATACAGAGTGGATAATATTAACATTATTGACATGGCTGAGTTCTCTTGGTGACACCTGTATAACGATCTAACAAGAAGAATAAAACTATATTTAAGAGAGAGGAGGATAGTGAAGAACAGTGTAGACACTATATAACAACACAGCATCTCCCCTTTTACTGACGGACTAACCACTACAGTAAAGTTTAGTTAAGTGGTAATGATGATCAGGAGGCTCGACTTGATCAGATCGTATTGGTGTTGTAATGCACTGCTGCCCTTCAACAGTTACGGTCTTTTCATCAACAATTAAAAATCACGAGACATCTCTGGTCCGGATCTGTAAGTTTTAAAGTACCATTGACTGTAGACATGCGGTGCTCGGCTTTTTAACATATGTTTGTAAACAGTAATGTAGAATTGTATCCAAAGGAGGTGGATGAAGTATTACCTAACCAGATATGTTTTGAAGTGTCTTTCAAAACATATGATAATTTATGAATTCATATGAACGAGACACAAATACATGTTTATTACCATTTAGTAAATCCGAGAACCGTCATAATCAGCGGAAATTTTGCAGTAACAAATGCGTGAGTGTAATACGATAATAACCATTGTTGGATGAAAGATATTGCAGTATATATTTTAACCCTTGTCCATATGTTATGTAAACTAGAGAAAACCGATGTAATACTTGTCAAGTTACAGTATATCATTATCCTAAAGTTACTCTTCAATTCGAACACACACATTATACCTTTGAAAAAAATTATACCAGTGTAAAAAATGTGCTATGCTGTTACATGGAATGGTACTTGCTCCTTCACTTGGGGTAACTTCGTCTGTGTACAGTCTGGATCATGTGTTGACGAAAACAAGTTAATCCTAAATAATCTCTGACGAAAACAAGTTAATCCTAAATAATCTTTGACGAAAACAAGTTAATCCTAAATAATCTCTGACGAAATCAAGTTAATCATAAATAATCTCTGACGAAAACAAGTCAATCCCAAATAATCTCTGACAAAAGTAAGGTAATCCTAGATAAACTATGTAGAAAGTTTATACACAATAGCTGACTGGACTACAGGTTCTTTGTCTCCGCAGGTCACTTGGATGAGACGCCGTAACCTGCACATCATTACTGCCGGTCTGCTGACCTACTCTCCAGATGATCGCTACAGAGTGAGTCAGAATGAGTCATGTTAAGACTGATGTTTTATAGCCATGTATTCTTTATAATGACATTGACAGAGTTAAAGGATATTATACGTGTAACTCGACCCAAAAAAGTATCTTTACGGAGAGTCCGATAACTTTCAAAATAAACACAGCGACTTCTGTTGTCTTGTAGTCCTGGGGCGGATTATCAAAAAGGCCATAAAATTAAAGTTTGCTGCACCCCTCCCCCAGTGTGTCATGATTTATTATTCTTTAGTGACCTATGAGATAATAATTTCAAAACATTACACCTCCCAAAAAACTGTCTGATCGATCCTTATTTGAGAACTTCCAATACACGGTATGTGACTGTAATAAGGTGAACTGGTAGCATGGGGATTAGGTTCCAAATTTTCACCTAGTTGTGCCGACAATGCTTTATACACATTCAAAAAGGTGATGCCGTGTCTAGATATAATTTTATGATAGATATAATGTTGAAATGGGAAATTATTTAACCCACTGGATGAAAAATTCCGATATATCCGATTTGAAAATTATAGCCATACAATGAGTCATTGGGATTTACCCCCAAGGCCAAGGAAGACAGGTCACTGGAAATCTGCTCTCCATCAACAGGGACATGTCTCCTGAGGCTAGGGTTGCCTTTTACGGTATCCTCAACTTCCTCGGTGTTGTTGGACATCGCTTTGGAAGAACCGGATTGCGTGATGCGCTCCTTAGCTGACGTCCTTGCGTCTGGATCAGTGGATGCAGTACCAGAAGGGCGACATTAAAACCAGGGCTGAGAGTTCACAAGCTGGTAAGAGAGGCCATGGAGCAACTGAGATGGGCAGAGTTCCTAAAGTGGAATGAGCAACAAATCAGCCCTGTAGATCTGAATGAACTGGACGGCATCCTTGAAGGTCTACAAGCAGGGATCACTGCAACTACTCTCAAGACAGTATTGGAGTCACAGGCATTTAAGACCACAGAAGATGAGTACACCCAGTTTTATCAATCCCTTGGTCCTAATGGCCAGTTCTGAATGTCCTATCTGGACTTAGTGGGTCTGCTTCTGTCATTGTCAACTCTATACGCGAGGCAAACTAAAGACGTCATCTCGAATACTTTCTCGAGCTTCTGCCATGAATCCTGCCGATGATCGAACCAACTATTCTTGGTTCCTGTCAGTGTATGTACACCATATGCTCCACTACCAACCACTCACCCTGCAGCACGTCAACAACTGGTTGTTGGTGAATTTGCTGTGCAGCGCTCCAAGGGAAACAAATTCGGCCGTATCCTGCAAGACCAGACCGTCGAAGTGACTAACAGACACCAACGACCAAAGATGGTATCATTGACATGAGCTTGATCCAGCCGCCATTTTCAAGGGGATGATACTTCGTACCGATCGTGCAGGACAGGACAACGAAGTCACAGTGCAACGTATCACTGCCTGTGTGGAAAATTGAGTCGATCCCTTCCAGTCTGATGAGGAGCTATGTCACTTGGCATCTGGAGATGTGGCAATGGAAGTGGTGCAGACAGAACTCATGGATGCGTATGATAGAAGGGTGGAATCACTGAGAACATTTGCCACAGAAAAACTTAGTAAGGATCGGTCCAAAGACTTCTATGCCACTCTACTCCAACTGAAGGCTTTTTCCTTTGTTCGGAAGTCTACAAGAGAATTGTTTGGCCGTCTACTGGTGATCGGAGAAACTCCTGAGCTATCCATTTGGGCCCCTCCCTCTCCCCATTGCCACACCTGATGGAAGTCCAGTGGAGACCGTCAAGGCCACACTGCTTAAAACGATAGAAGAAGACACTCTGTCACTGACGAACATTCCTTATGATGCTGTCTGGGTGTTTGATACAATGACCATCCTACAGTCTACAAAGACAACTACGAACATGATCTATTCAGAGTTGGCCTCTTCGGTATTCAACACAATCACTGCAGGTGCACCATCAGATGGCCGCAGAGAATAGGTGGTTGATACATACCCTGAGGTATCCATCAAGAATGTGGAGCGTGATGGGAGAAGTATTGCTGCTTTGGGAAGTTTTGAAACCAAGATCCGCTAAGGATCACGGAAGATTGGCCAACAACTGAAGACATCTCTGAGTAGAGCATTCAAGGGTTCCTTCACCGAGTTCCTGTTGCAAGAGTGGTCGAAGCCGAAGTACGCTATAAGTCTGTGGAGGAAAGCACTGCTTTTAACTGCTGCAGATATATGCTTCAGGCTAAAGGCCAATGAGCAAATGACCGAATTCAAGAAAGTTAAAGTGGCTGAACTGAGATGCACACACACTAAGAGGCCAACACCAGACTGCTGTTGCGTGCAGCTCACGCAGCAGATCATGGCGCCCCAGCTGTGGTTATAAATTATCCAGACAGTGACACAAGCACAGGCACACAGCAGCGTACCCGTTACCTGGATCTCACAGCCATTGTGCATGCACATGGACGAGATGTCTGCACTGCCCTGCCTGGTTACCATACCTTTATTTACTGTGACTTTACAAGTGTCTTCACTTGCCAAGGCAAGGTGTCTGGATTCAAGCTCCTCAAGATAAATTAACCACTCAGAACTACCATGATCGGCAGTGGACAGTCATTGACCTATCACAGGAGCAACTAACCAGGGGAGAAGAGGCCACCTATATCCACTATGGGAAGAAACAGCACAGCCGGGTGAATGAGCTGAGGTACGAGATGTTTGGCACACAGACGACGGGTCCATGCAGGCTAACACCCTGTCAGAATGCAGCTGAAAACCACCTGCGCCGTGCCAACTACCAGGCTGCCATCTGGAGAGGGTGTCTGGAAAGCTGTGTTAATGTGCCAACTCCAAATGTGCGGTCACCAGCAAGTGGCTGGATGTGTCCCCTGCACCCAAGTCAGTCTTGGAATGTGTCAGCTGCAGGTGTCAGATGTGCTGACAGGCTGTACTCCTGCAGACATGGCTTGAACTGCACTGGGGCATGCAAGTGCAACCATGGGAAGTGTGGTAACTCAAAGGACACTGCCACCAGTTTAGCAGCAGACACACGAGAGTCAGAGGACGAGTCAGATGATTAGTACGACATGGTGCTGTGACCGCTAATTTTTGCTACAGCTTCACCTCTTGCATGTGTATTGTTCTTTCATCACTGTTTTACATGTTCTATCAAGCTGATGTGCCAGCTTTCTCTCTCTCTTTAACCATTGAATACGTCACTGTGAATAACGTTGAATAAAAGCCTACATTTTATGTATCCCTCTTTATTTAATACTCAATATGTCGCAAAAAATACAATGATATTAGGCAAGTAGTTACTCTCGTGGTATAAATAGGTGTCCTGTGTTACGGAACAAATCATAAACACTTTTGTTCTTGACTTAATCCAAGTCTTTCCAGCAAAATCCAAAAATACCGTTTTTCGTCAGATCGCTACAAATCGCCGAGTACCGATATATGAAATGGCTCGAAAAGGATCCTTTGGACACTTTCTGGAAGGGGTAATATTTTGAAATCACAAGTTAATAGATAATATAAGATGAAACAATCATCAAACCTATGATGGCGAGGGGGGGGGGGTTGCAGCAGTTCAAATTTTCAAAATTAGTCCCGGGACTATTGGTAGGGTTGTCAAAATTCTCACAAAATCGTAAGGCTACTTTTGGGGGGCGTGTGTACACAGCTTTTATTGTTTTGTTTATCAGTGCACTTCATTCAGAGTAAACAAACTTGATCAGAATATTATTAATAACTATCCTCCTCATTTTCCTCTGTCAGTCAAATAACTTCCTTCATTACCAAGATCTGTCAGTTTGTGAGTTCAACTTAGCTTCTTTAGGCAATATACTTGAAGCAAATGTACACACGAGAGTTGCTCAGATAACTCCCAGAATTTTGGTTATAAAATCCCATTGCAATGTATCAAAAGACTTCCGCTCTCAGTGTATATGTCACTAAGAAACCTCTCCATGAAGGACTCTCAATGAAGACAAGTAACAAAGAACTGATACCTGTAAAGCCTTTTAAATAGTTACTAGTATTCCTACCTTCCTACACAACATCTAACGAACTTACATGCAGGGTCGCTCTAGAACACTTTGGACTGGTTTCAGGAGCTGACTATACAGTAGGTTTTAGGCAGCCAACGAGAGGGAGAAATTACATCATGATCCCAGACCAACACGGTAAAGGACAATAAACAAACCCACTGCGACTAACCTGAGATGAAGAGAATTACCTCAAGCATGCTCAGGGGGGGATCAACTGACGTGGAGATGACTCTTCTGTAGGTGTAAGTGCCTCATTCATAAACTGAGCAATTTTTACCCTGCATAATATACAGTAGATCTATATATATATATGTTCCGCTAAGTAGAGACAATTGCGAAATAGTGTTAACTTCTATAGATTTCTTTGTTTTTCCTATTCATCTTGTTTTTTTAAGGGGAGGGGGACTTCTGATTGGTTATAGACGATCATGTAGATAATAACACATATAAATGAGCAGCCTCGTATAAAACCTAACCTACAACATCTGAAAATTAAGTAAAGTGAAGGTTACACTACAAATAATAGTTTTAAATGAAAAAGTAATGGAAAAATATAAATCCAATTAAGTAATGAGACAAGTAACAGTGACACAGGTATATATTTGTTTCCATATTGGTTATAAAAAATCTTAAAATTCTTTTGAAATTATAATCAGGTGACTTAAAATTACATTAATGCTCGTATTCTGAATGTAGACCATTTTGGTATCCATTTCATTTCCTTCAAGCAAACATCATTCTGTCTTTTTGATAAACTTAAACAACTGTGTGCACGGGAAAAGTGTATCTTGACAAGGTGTGGGGTGACACTGTGTTGCTATTCTTGCTTGAGCGTAAGTCAGCCAAGGTGAACTCAATTTATTTTCTGGGACTATTTTCCTGTTAACATCGTCGAGATAAGAAAATTCAGAATGATAAATCGTTCTTTAGTTTTTAGTACAGCTAAAGTACCTAATATTTGTGTATTTCTCCAAGACTAATACAGTATACAAAATGTCAGTATGTGAAAAATATGAAAGTGATTGATTTTAGAAAGTCGGCTCTGGAACTCTCAATACGTACGGTCGGGGTCAAAAGTTTCGCTCCCTCCCAATATGAAACGGCTTCGACCGCAAATGAGATAAAACAGTCAGGGTAAGTTAGTTCGGAGACTCATTCCCGTGACTCACTTTCACCACGGGGAGCGAACGTTTGTCCCGGACTGCACAATGATTCTCTTACAGCCTTACAACAATACCCCTAACATCACTGTGACTCTCTCGGTCAGTGACGCCCAAGTACCCGACACATTGAAGGGTAACCAGGTGATGAAAAAGGCGACCATCAGTAACCTCGGTGAATGGTTAACAGAAAGCTATTATGATTAGGCAGACGACACGAAAAGAACCACAAGGAAACTATAGGTTCATTGGGGAAATTTTAGATAATTAACATAGCATACTGTTAAGCATAATGTTGATGCTCTGAATATATTATGAATAGAGACTTTAATAAACATACTAATTATCCTTTATGGGGCTATCTGTTGAGCGTATTACTGATGTGTTTATAAAAATTAATCAACTTTACTTATTTATTTACATTAACTTTGACTTGTGAGGAGCAACCAGACGAGAGAGGGACGAAAAATATTGGTAATGCACGAGTCACCTTCCCCCTCCTGAGGTCTAGGCTCCTATGGGACTTTGATGAATAAAAGAGACACCACTGAATTTTGTCTCATCTTAACAGGAACGAACTATTGATTGCTAAGACTCGCTCAGTTTAATCGGATATAGATCAGGCAATGACACAGAGAAAAACTATGTAAGCGTCGGGAGGTTCCTGCCTGTAAATAACAAATAGAAATACAATAATAATCCCCAGTTTGTAAAAGGAATCGTATTGAGTGGTGGCCATAAGGTAAAACTTTACCAAATATTATTATTTCTGCTCGTATGTATGAATAATATCTAGCCAGTTCCATCCCCGACAAAAAACTTCTCATCCTTTATAATCCATTGCCAATTTATCTCTTCACGTTTTAAAAATTTATGAGACAGAATTCTCAGTTCACAACCAAGTAGAGGAGAGACGGCACAATAGGTTTCAGGTTGCCAATAGTTAATAAAGGCTGTATTAAACTTCCAACACCTACTATGAGCTGTTGTGGGAGGTGCTCTGGGCCTCAAGCGCTGGTTCTTGTCAACATGACCATGTCTAAGGTCGATGTTGATGTTATAACGTATTAGTGCGCTTCAACAACTAAAGTCTTTAACCCCTTGTGTACGGGTCCTCCTCTGAGCTGAAGAAAAGCGGCGTATTAATGTGGCAGAGTACAAGCCTAGGTCATCAAGAGAGGCTCCTGGCGATGATACTCACAGTTCCAACTTAGGATAAAGTCTTTCGAGAAGTTTCAATGGTGCTGCAGGAACTGTATGTGTCACATATATATTATATTAAATGTACCGGTGTTGCCTAACGCTATTTATACCACAAGTGTACAATAAACGTATTTCGTTTTGGCGACATTTATGTCACTGTTTATTCCTTTAATGAATTATGAGGCAGTAATCTTTAAACAATATGGCGGACTCGGACTCGTAAGACTCGCTCAGAATTTTTCCTAACCTTAATGTCTGGTTTATATTCAACAGGTGCTTCACCCAGTCAACACGGACGAGTGGACACTGCACATCAAGTTTGCTGAGCCAGGGGACGGAGGGTGGTACGAGTGTCAGGTTAACTCCGACCCTAAAATCACCCGACCCGTTCTGCTAATTGTCAAAGGTTTGTGTTTACAACATCAACTTAATGATAGAGAAATGATGATCAATTTGAAGGATTGTAATACTAGTGACAGTGTTAGAAACAGCTTCATTATTGAGGAATATTCCAGTGGCAGTGTTAATTTAATATTCATTATAACAACAAATGCAACAATACTTTTTACAAACTATTAGGAGAAAAGGAAAAATAATAATAATAATAATAATAATAATAATAATGATAATAATAATAATAGGAACTATGTACAACACTATATAATGATTTACATACAATTCATTCTGGTAAATGCCTCTCATCTGTTATTTGCTGCCAAGAGAAAATAAGTTTAGAGGTACAGACAGCCTCCATAGCCCTTGAGTCATCCAGAGAAACATATATAAGCATTTTGCCATCGACCAGTCAAAAGTATAAGCTTTTACCATTCCCGAACATTGTAACCATCTGGATTCACAGATCGCCGCTTCCTGAACCTTTTTGAAATTACTACGTCATATATAAACATCTTAGAGTCATGTGAAGAAAGTTTCAGTACTTGAAGTTTTTCTAATTTTCTGGTCTGGTGACTGTTATATCCACTGTTTTCTCTGCAGACCGAACTATCATAATGTGTGAGCCATACTGTATGTCCCCTTGTTTACAATGTTTTGAAATCGGCAATTATGACTATGGGTGATGCCCTGTCGTCTGGTCTCTCTGTAGTGAATGGATCCTGAAATCCCATTTTATAACTTTTGGGGTATTAGCCCACCCGGACACAAGTCACTGACCCACATCAGGGCCCGGGGGCGAAAATATAATAATAATAATAATAATAATAATAATAATAATAATAATAATAATAATAATAATAATAATAATAATAATAATAATAATAATAATAATTCAGATAAGTAAAATTTATAATAAAAAATACAAAAATATAAATAAAATAATAATGATAATAATAATACTGAAAACACTGCAATAATAATAATAATAATAATATAGAACCATAAAGAAATAAAAAAAAGATCATTAGTGAGAAACGATATATGTACAGTATGTTGTGTTGAGTTCAGACCAAGATGAACAGCAAGCAAGTTTAGGGGGAATAAATCCCCAAATGCCAAGGCCAAACTTGTGACTCAGATAGTAAAATTCAAATAGATTAAAATATATATATAACCTCCCACCTTCGCCCATATAAGGCATCAAGGTACACACACTGGAAAAGAAAAGTGGCCAAAGAATTTTTGATGAAGAGCTTAAACACACTTCTTCTATGACGTCACTTCAGCACCCTAAGTGGAAGAGGGAAGGTTGTAGAGTTGCTCGACTTTGTTATAAAATAGGATCTTAGGATCCGTTCACCACTTACAACCATACATCGTGACCTAGTGTCACTTTATATAAAAACATCTATAAAAGGAAGGTAGAGTTACCACTTATTATGCTCAACTGCAGTCCTGGTGTGAACAATCATACTAAAATGCACTAAGCTGCTGCTAAAGCCAGAAAGTACAATCAAGCCCTTCACTCCCGATGATCACACTGACCTGGTAAATAAAACAACATCTCTCAAGGTTTTTCTCTAAACTACAGACTGTCATTCCTGACTTCTAAATAGTATTTGCTCTCGTTTCTCTTGAAGGCAAACCATGTTGACTAACATAATTCCAAACATGTAACTGGTAAGACTTCAAGTCCAAACACCACTAGCCCTTAGACCATTAATTTACTGGAGTCTAGAACCTTTACTCTACTCTACAGTTGACCAGGGTTGTCATGGCAACCCCTTAGTGTGCACCTTTGGGGGTAAACAGTTTAGTAATATGTAGTCCTGGCCTTATAACAACTGCCCTTTAGAGGAGGTTCAAGCCATGAGATGAGTCCCCGTAAGACCCAGACATGTTATAATATTCCAGTTCTGTAGTCATCTCTCTTCTGTTGTTCCAAGGTAAAGCAACTGTGCTCCATGCCTCGAGTTTTCCATAAAACATAGAGCTTCCCTCAGGTTCTTTCTGAAGTTTTCGTTTACACTTCCTCTCATCCTGTTCTCAACCATCAGTTTCACTTGTTTTCATGTCGCTCTCTTGTCCTTTTCAACTTAGAGTTAACAAACTTGAGTTGCCAGGATTCGCAGCATATCGCAGTGTCCATTCAATCCAGACTGACTCAACAGCAAGTGATTGCAGTTGTTGCAATCTCTCTATTTTCTGCAGAAATTCGTATAGAAATGTAATCGCCAACACCTCCACAGGTATAACTTATTTTCCAGTCCATTCTGCCTGTTATAGAAGACGTCATCATCGAACATAAAAATAAAAATGGTCATCTTGTGGTCATCTCTGATACCATGCAGACGTAATCACAGCAAAATCCACTCCCTCATATTAATATACTTCCTGGTGTAGGATCACTTGAAATAAACTTTTATATAAAATGATGACCACAGTAAGTAGTTTACAGTTCTAAGCCATGTGACCTTTGACCTGGGCCTGACCTATACTTTCTGAACCATCCAGCCCAGGTCCCTCCCTGACCTCTTCACTCGTCCTCAGGGAAGAGGAAGCGAATGAACGGTCCACAAAATTAGAACTGGAGAGGGAAATATCTCTTCTATTGTTTTCCTTCCCTTCCACCTCTTCGGGGAAGGAATAAAAAGAGAAATAAAAGCAGTGCAAATTATATATGAAATTGAGCTCCTTGTTCTATCTCTTCCCTTCCCTTCCCTTCCCTCCCTTCTCTTCACTCCCCTTTCCTTCCTCCCTTCCTTCCCTTCCCTTCCCTCCCTTCTCTTCACTCCCCTTTCTTTCCTTCCTTTCTTTCCCTTCCCTTCCCTCCACTTTCCTTCCTTCCATTCCCCTCCCTTCCCTCACGCTCCCTAAAAGAAAATGTATATAAATAATGCCTGCATTTGAGCTGAGAGGAAGCTAAGTTAAAGAAGTATTATAGGGAGCGGGTAAGAGCCAGCCAGTTAAATTTGAGTTGCCACAGGATCCGGAAAGACTGCGAGAGTTCATCAGATGTGGCCCGGTTTTGATACTATTTTAATTGATTGTGTAATGGTTCGTAGGTAAGAGTCACTACATCTCTAAAGTATAACCATTGTTTTGACTGACTACAGTAAATACAGCAATTTTTTATACATAAGAAAAAGACAGCGACACAAACCTGTAGACATGAAAAATAGCTACAGAGTATTGATAATGAGTCTATGATATATAATACAGTACTTTGGCTGAAACATGAATATATAATTACAAGTAACAGGATACAGTACCGTTGAACTTCATAAGATTTAAGAGCAGTCATGCTGGAAAATTACTGGAATGTCACCTTTGGGGTAAAACTCTTCTATAAATACAGTGGCCATTTTTATGTGGGTAGATGTAACCACTTATGAAAGCTTCTGTGATTTCAAAAACTGCCTATTATCAATGCCCACTTGTTTGAGTCTTTGAAACTATATGGTTAAAATATTGATAATAAAGAACATATTTTTTTATCGAAACGCTGACTCAAGACTTTAATAAGCAGAACAAACGTGAAAATTCCTTGGGATAAACATCTGTTAGATAATATTTAAGCTGAATTACAATAAAAGATGTATTGTATTAGCCTGGAAACAGTGAATTTGCTGTAGACCAGTTCATAAACAAGTTACAACAAATTTATGATAACCAAAATTTTTCTTAAAGAAAAAATAAACACTCCACAAACTACCTACACCCTCTTGGACTGGTATAAACACACCGGGGGTCAACAAACGTCGCCACGAACACCAACAGAAGACTAACGTTCACAGTTGCCAGCTTGGCTATAGGAAAAACCAGGAATCAAGGACGAAAGAAACTAAACAAAAATAATATATTAAAAAATCACATATATTAGCATTACCCTTAACGTGTGGTGTTCTATAATGTTTTTAGAAGCTGCTAAAAACATTCTGCAAACTTTAGTCATTTATTATAAAGAATTATTTGTATAACCTTGAAAACTTTCCTTTCAAGTAAATTCCAATAAACCGGAATAGTTGAGCTGAATGAATATTGGAGTGCAGGGAGGGAGGGAGGGCCTGCCGTCACGTAAACCTCATCTATGTGAGTGTGCGGACGAGAGGGAGGGAAGCCGGGTTATAAGAGTCAGGAAGTGTGCTGCGGAGAGAGGCCTTTGTATAACGACCTTTGTTGGCCGTTTATAGGCGGTCATAAGAGCCAAAGGTCATATAGGCTACAACGGCACAAGAGAATTATGAGAATCAGGACCATAAATCCAACCGCACACATTCCAGGACACGCTATCAGTTATTAAGCCATCCTAAACCAGTTAATTTATGTGAAAAACTGAGGAATGTGCTGAAAATTGATTGTGTCAGATACGGTACTTGGTGCGAGGTCAACAGCCTTATTGTAAGTGTCCCGGCTACCCATCGTTTGGCATCAGGACGCTCGTGTTGTTTAGCACCCTTAACCTCCAGGCTCCGGCACCTCCCTCCGTACAAACCCACTCACCCCCGTAAACACTGACCATATGTTTTTACCAGAGAGACGCACAGTACCTTTTTTAATTTTCAAGTAGTGGTGAGTAGTGAAATCATTACTCTAAAATGTGTTAGCCAAATAAAATATTAAAAGTGACGTCCTGTAGTAAAGGAGTTAAATACCTTAGTTAAGACACATCCTTCGACACCCACCTCAGTTATCTCCAGAACCTTCACCATGGCAGAAATGGCCGCAAACAACATGGCCACTCTCAGGAGAGGCAACAAGGTGGCGTGATCACAGAGCCACAAGTAGTGCGACAATAACTGACCACTCAGTAGAGGCGGCGTTGTAGGTAAACAAAGTGTTGATTCCTGGCCGCTCTCTACAAGTGAGCAACAACCCCAGAGGACAACTTAAATGATATGTATGAATTATATAATGTGAATCGCCCTCTTACGACTGTAGTCATCATAATTGCATTAAATTTCGGGTTTTTAATTTTCGTTTAATTTCAAACCTTTACATTCACGTAACTGGATCTTTTGAAACAGAATTGTCTAATAGTGTATAAAGGTACAGACGCATGTTCATTATGAATAACACATTCAGGATTCGTTTTGAATAGATCCACTGAATGCTAGATTATCTTTCGTGAAATAGTTCCTTTTATTTGATGACAATAAAAATCCAAACATTAGTTAGTCAACTTATGAAATCGGAGAAAGTTAAACTAAATAATATAACATAATAGTTCAATGTTAACGGGTGTCTGTTCTTAAATGTTAATTTTATATAACAGTGGCTGCATATTGTAACTGGTCCCATTTCTTCTTCTTTTTTCAGACAAAAATATGGATGATCCATTTTACAAACATGAGTTGGACACCACAGACAACAGTGAGTACTGAAGTCTTACTGTTTCCGTGTGAATGAGAATCTATCGGGTGTAGAGCAGGAGGTGATCTGAGACCTATGGTGCATGGCATTATGGAGTGAATATCTGCGGAGAGACAGGGTAATATAAAGAGCGTTGTAGTGCGGGACGTGGATGAGTAAACTGGAACAGAAAGTAAAGATGAAAAGACAATTTTTTCATAGTTGTTTCTGTCGTGTGCTGAACTCTGCAAACAATTATTTAGGACGGAGATTTTTTACGACACACATTTCAGTATTGCAGGAAAAAATCTAAGAAATGCTGCAAATTATATTGAGTGAGAAATAGCAGATATTGATCATTTATTACTATACAGTGTCTGTGTTGACAAAAAATGCAATAATAATTAAATAATGATTCTTAAACATACAGGACACAGATTTTTTTTTAATGAGGAACAATTAAATTTCAAAAATTTATTTTTACCTATTGGAGCTGCCTTCAATTATTGTATATCCACAAGCAATGAAATTCAGATAGATAAAGCTAGATTCACTTTAAGTAACGGGGACACGACAACTGCCCGCTTGGGGCAGTGCAAATACAGCACTGTTTTCTGTTTTTGTTTTCAGTACAAAAGGCGGCGGCCGAGCAGGTACTGTGCACAACCTCCTTCGCTTCCTCACATAAGAGAACATAAGAATGGAGGAAATTGCAGCGGGCCTATTGACCCATACTCGACAGTCCAAACCTGTTTTTTAGCTATCCAGCATATTCGATTTAATGATAATGTTTAGTAACTTGCTCCACTCGTCCACTACTCTATTTCCTAACCAATGTTTACCTATTTCGCGCCTAAATCTAAATTTGTCAAATTTAAAACCATTGCTACGAATTCGCTCCTGGTTGGATAGTTTAAGTACCTTTGTAATGTCCCCTTTGTTTAGACCTGACTTCCATCATATCGCCCCTCACTCTACGTCTCTCGAGGGAGTGCCAATTAAGATGCTTTAACCTGTCTCTGTACTCAAGGTTCATAATGCCCGGGATTAGTCTTGTCATTCTCCTCTGAATTCTTTCCAAGGATTCTATATCCATTCTGTAATACGGTGACCAGAATTGAACTGCGTAATCCAAGTGAGGTCGCACAAGCGCAAGATATAGTTTTAGGATGACCTCGCTAGTCTTGTAACAAACACTCCTTTGTATGAACCCAAGTACTTCATTAGCCTTGTTTTGAGCGAATATACATTGTTTACATGGCTTACGATTCCTACTTATCATTACTCCTAAATCTTTCTCGCAGTCGCATTTCTCAACAACATCGTTGTTCATCTGATATCTGGTTTCCCTGTTTACATCTCCTACACTGAGTACTATACATTTGTCCACATTGAATTTCATCTGCCATTTTTCAGACCATTCGATTTTTGTTTAGATCTTCCTGTAGTTTTGCGGAGTCCTCGTCAGATTTAATTACACGCCCTATTCTAGTGTCATCAGCAAATTTACTTATGTTGCTGTTAACGCCGATATCCATGTCGCTTATGTATATAATAAATAATAATGGTCCAAGTACTGAGCCTTGGGGAACTCCACTAGTGACGTTGCTCCAATCGGATTTAGTGCCGCTAATGCTCACTCGCTGTTTCCTGTCCTGTGACCACGCACTAATCCGTTTTAGAATATCTCCTTTAATGCCATGAGCCTCCACATTTCTTATTAGTCTTTCGTGGGGGACTCTGTCGAAGGCTTTGCTAAAGTCGAGAAAACCACATCATAATTGTGCCCCTCGTCCACTGATTCGAAAACAGATGAAAAGAATGTTAATAGATTAGTTAGACATGAACGCCCACTTGTGAAGCCATGTTGGGAATCATTATCAACTTGTGCTTCTCCAGGTGATTTCGAATAGTTTGAAATGATTGCTTCCAATAATTTGCCTACAATTGATGTTAGACTGATTGAACGGTTCATTATTCCTCTTTGCTTTTCTTATCTCGGTCTTAACCCTACCGGCCAATACCTTATAATAATCTCGGAGGTAAACTTCACCACGATTTATTCTCCTTCTTATAGCCTTCCTTTGTCCAATAATATTTTTTAAATAATTATTTATCCATTTTGGGTCATTGTTGTTTGATCTGAGTTTTCTGTATGGTATGCTCTGCCTATGTACATTAAGTAACTCATTGTTTAAATTGTTGTGGAACTCGTCAACCTCAGATCTCGTGATCAGGTCATCCTCAACCGTCAGGTCTCCAGGTAAGGTGAGGTCGCCCTCTGTGGGTACATTGTGTGAGGTCACCTCATGTGAGGTCATGTAATTCACCCCCAAGTGTGATACCCTTTCTCTCAACTGCCTCTTCAAACTATCAAAGTTTGCCCTTCTGAAATCAGGGACTTTAGTGGAATTTTCCTTGCGACTGCCCTGAAATTCTAATTGGAATCTTATTTCTTTGTGATCGCTGTAAGCAATTAAGTTCCATACCACGACATTACTAATGAGGTTTCCTCTGTTTGACAGAACTAAATCAATTATATTATTACCCCGGGTGGGTTCAGTTATATGTTGGCTTAGGAAACAGTCCTGCATTGTTTCAAGAAAATCCTCTGATTCTGAGTTACCCGTAAAGTCAATCCAATCTATTTGGCTAAAGTTAAATTCGCCTACCATACAGACTTTGCTATGTATGGAAGCCCTGAACATTTCATCCCAAATGAGTCGCTCATTAACTCTATCAAGATTAGGAGGTCTATATATTACTCCTGTGGTTAATGTTTCCCTACCATCGATTAATTCTATCCAAATTGTTTCTGTATTCCGCTCAGTTTTTATTTCCTTATTTATTTCTCACTTCAGATTATCCCTGACATAGATTGCTACTCCGCCTCCTTTCCTAATCTGCCTATCGGTATGGAATAATTTGTAACCTGCAATTTGGCATTCGACAGGTAACTCACGTGAGTCTAGGTTTATCCATGTTTCAGTGAATGCTATTATATCGATTTTTTTCGGTACATACTAACGCCCTGATTTCATCCATTTTGTTTCTCATACTTCTACTGTTTGCGTAGTTGACATTTAAGTTAGTCGTGTTCTGAGTCCTCTCTTTGTCGCGTTTAGGTTTTAACTCCATGCCTAATTTAGTTTTGTCCTCATTCCTAGCACTATTTCCCTGTAACCTTTCATTTTGTTTACCCGCTCCCACTGCAGTCTCCTAGCAGTTTAAAAACTTCGACATCTTTCGGACATCTTTCGAACTGCCCTCTCGAGAGAGCCAGCCAGGGTTGCCACCCCATCCCTAGACTCACTAACACTCAGACCACAGTAATTCCTCCTTTTCCATCCCTTCCTTCGTCTGTCTGTCCTCCTTCAATCCTCATTCCCTCCTTCTTCTTCCTTCATTTCCTTCCTCCCTCCTTCCCTATTGTGTTGGAAAAGCAATAAGTTACTGAAGATGTATTTTTACAGGTACGCAGGTGCATATTGAAGGTCCTCCCGAGCGCTATATCCAGCAGGGCAGTGTATTGGCTGTAATGTGCACTATAGTTCATTCTGTAAACAAGGGGCCTCAACACGTTGTGTGGTATCAAGGAGCCTCCAGACTTGATTACGATGCTCCCAGGGGAGGCATCGCTCTTCAGGTAAGTTTCCTTATCTTTCTGGGCATTCCGTTGCTTCAATATCTTTTATAATAATATATTTCATATCAGACATCCATTATTTCCTTTTACAATGACCTTATAGTGAGTAGATTATGGGTGCCATATCAGAAAAAATGAATGTCACCATTATATGGATCTATTTACAAGAAAAATGGCAGTTGGTTAACTCGTGTACTGTACGGGTGTCTACTGTACAATGCTCGCCAGTGTGATCCCAGAGCTCTCCTAGTCACCCAGTTTATTAAGATGCCGCGCTTAACAGTTGGGAACTTGGTAAGTGAAGGTAATCGAGTGCCCGGCCACGCTGCCGTATCCACACAGTCCTTAATGGACAAACCAGGCAGGACTTCCCATTGGGTTATTCAGCAGTAAGTGCCAACTTATTCCCACATAAAACATTCATTGATGCACCTTATGTCACCAACAGTGAAATATTATCCCTTACGGAGTAAGGTATACAAAGCACTCATGTTGTTCTCAGCAATAGACTCGACAGTACAGCCGAGATTTTCACATAACCTTGCTGGTCTTATGTTGAATGAGGTTAAACGTTTCGTTTCGGCGCATCCTTGAAGAAACCAATACTGTAGTGGAATCTGCTCCACCGTTCGCAGCAATACTATCAGTAACGTCCACCGAGAAGTGGATTCCTCAAAGTGGGAATGCATCAGTCCATACAGCGTGAACATCCATAAGTGACTTCACTGGAGCTTAATGAAACATAATGTATCAGTAGACAAATGTATTACTCCCGTGTACACCAGGATACCATGAAAAGACATAACACTTTCTAGCAGATCAGTGTATCTAACTTGTCTCTCTCTTGTAATTCTTATAGCTAATCCTCCCTCATCTGTGTGTGTGAGGGAGGGGGTCAAGAAGGGGAGGAACCTCAAACAACTAGAAAAGTAATACTAGACAAGAATGGGATAAGGTTTAAGTTAATATGTAGAAATACCCACATATATAATTGATGTCTATGTTGACCATTTTGCGAATGTGTTGAAAAAAACTTGTATGATAAGGTAAACATCACTACCGTAACATTGGTTATTGTAGTATAGTACCGTGTTAAAGTGTACTGTACAATTGGGGACATTTCCGACTAGTACACTCAGCACTGTCTCCGTGAGGTGTGAACCCCGAGAGTATCGACGCGTGAATTCGAAGCCTTTTTATTAATCGGTGAGACGTGAGGCGCACACAGTAGCCGGGGACTAGAATGATATACCGTTATTTGACTCATTACATGGTCAGGCAACGTTTACATAAATCTACCAGTATATTACATTTTTATGAAATAGTCAATCAAAGTGTAAGAGACTTTAGAATAGATGCACATAGTACTAATCTTTATCATAGAGTATGGTATGGGTCAAGTGTTGTGGTGGTGACGTGGTGCCTCGGATTCTGAGACAAGCCCATAGTCTGACCTGAGGCATTAATGAAATCACCGAATTTACTTTCTGTTTACCAACTATCACTTACGGGACGGGAGTAGCATCTTCTCTGATCACATGCACACTTACACCATCAATTTAGTATATTGTTGTAGCTTAGAGAAAATGCAAATAATCTCCATTTCTCCTCATACAAATGCTCAGGTTTGGCCCAGAGTTGACATGAGGAGCCTATCACACATCCACATACAATAGCAGACAGGCTAAAATAATGTTTTATTTGTTTATCTAAATGACACTATAACCAAATGTAAAATATCAGAGTTCAAGTATTTCTCTCTTAACACAACAGTATGGTGAAACTGTCCTCCTGTCCTCTGTCCAGCGCGCTGAGACCCCCCCCCCCCTTCATCTGCTTACCTCACGTCACCTCACCTTAACCTACCACTCAGCAGACAGGAGACTGATGTCATTGATGCTCTATTGGGTAATATATACGAGTATTACTATAATCAAACAAGAAATGCTTGCAACAGGTGGAACTGCTGCCGACTGACATACCATTGTCATTCACACACATAATAAACGTAGTTTTCCAACTTCCTCGGCATCTTTTTACTGCAAATAACATTATATTAATAATTTAATGGTCATGTAAATAAAATTAAATACATCCGTTATGTATTGGGTCATGAAAGTCACCTCGTCATAAAAGGACACCATTGAGACTCCAGCCCGTTCCCCTATCACCCCTAGATTATGCGAGAGGTGCGTAAAAAATGCATAGAATAGCTCAGACTTGTGGCCCCAGTTGAGAATACCACCCGAGTGTGCAGCCACCAGAGTGTGCAGTAACACATTTTAAGCATACTTTTTGCTTTGCCCTACGTATTTATATCCTTTCTTATTAAATACTGCATTGTAACTCCACAAGTAACTCTTTAACTCCCTCCCATCACTCTCGCCCCAAACACACTCATACCAGCTGGCTCTCCTCCTCTCTCGGGAATTCGCAGGATTCACGTGTCGACACTCTCGGGGTTCACACCTCACCGAGAGGGTGGATTGACAACGCTGAGTGTACTTGTCGGAAATGTCCCCGACTGTACATGCTTAACATATAAGGCTCAAATAATCTACTACAATCCATTCTCTGCCTCTGTCGTGGTATCGTTGGTCGCTTCGTTATTTCCATACAATATAATACAGGGTGTCCCAATATAAAGATACTCCATTTCAACTGTCAGCTGCTTAACACTTCTAATTATAAAAGAATACGTTGGTACATTAGTAAATCCTTTTTAGTAATTAGTAATGTTGGTTTATCTAAAAATTATTCATGAACATAAACGTCATCTGATCTGAATATAATATTTGCTCAATTACGTCAGTGAATATCATGGGATCTCTTCATCTTGGGACAGAACTCTCCATACATTATAATTTCCTTTTTGTTAATCTAGTTACTGTACTCGCATATAAAAGATACAGAAACTTGAAGATGGATGCAAATTTAACTAATAAAAAGTGTCTTCTTTAACCAGACTGAGAAAACCTCAAGCAGGACAGTGAGCAGATTAATGTTATCAGCGGTGACTTCTCAGGACTCAGGGAGGTACAGCTGCCGACCAGACACCGGGGGATTTGCCTCAGTCTCAGTACACGTCCAGTCCGGTAGGTGTGTGTGTGTGTGTGTTTACTAGTAATTAACACTCAGCAACCAGGTATGCTTGCTGGTAGTGGAACAACCCTCTGGTGGACTAGCATGATACTAAAGGGGAGGGGGGGGGAGTACATGTCACACATAAACTGTTGAATGATGAGAAACAAAAGGATCAACACCTGCCCGCTAATGCTTCATCATATTGGAGTAAAAAAAACATTCATCATATTTAAGGTTGAGAAAAATGGTTCTTAACCCAAACATCGTCGTAATATATTAAAATTAATTGTGGTTAGATATTTCGGAGCATTAACTCTCACCCTCGGTGCTAAAACTACAATAAACACATTACATAACTTATAACAACTGGTAGTCATTACTATGAACACTCTCATTAAAGTAAAAAAAAAGGCACAAAAATATGACAGGCCGAATATATGATGTAAATTCAGGAGATAAAATATTAGAAATTTATAATAAAACGTGAAACTGGGTCCCATGGGGCTGACCTCTCGTTAGGTGTGGAGTATGGATAAACCCTAAGCCTTCATATGGCAACCTCTTATGATCCTAGATGTACAGTTGCCACCAGGTGTGTTGTTAACCCCTACCGTGTCTCTCTTGTCCTTGTGGCATCGTCGCACTACTCGTGTAGGGAACCGATTCATAGGACTGTTTCCTAGTACTGTACGTGTTTTTGCCACATGAATGAGAGGGAGCAAGGTAAGGGGTAACGGGTCATCTGAAGGCGGCGGCTGTGTTAAGTCCAAAATAATCAACCAACTTATTATAACTTCTTTAATACTTCACCGTAGTGCCTAGTCCACCTATAATGCTTCCACCACAGAGCCAGGTCCACCAATAGTGCTTCACCATGGTGCTTAGCCCACAATAATGCTTCACCATAGTGCCTAGTCCAACTATAATGCTTCACCATAGTGCCAAGTCCACCTATAATGCTTCACCATAGTGCCTAGTCCACCTCTAATGCTTCACCATAGTGCCTAGTCCACCAATAGTGCTTCACCACAGAGCCAGGTCCACCAATAGTGCTTCACCATGGTGCTTAGCCCATCAATAATGCTTCACCATATTGCCTAGACTACCTATAATACTTCACCATATTGCCTAGACTACCTATAATACTTCACCATAGTGCCTAGACTACCTATAATACTTCACCATATTGCCTAGACTACCTATAATACTTCACCATATTGCCTAGACTACCTATAATACTTCACCATATTGCCTAGACTACCTATAATACTTCACCATATTGCCTAGACTACCTATAATACTTCACCATAGTGCCTAGACTACCTAGAATACCCATAATACTTCACCATATTGCCTAGACTACCTATAATACTTCACCATATTGCCTAGACTACCTATAACACCATATTAGACTACCTAGACCCATACTGCCTATACCTTAATACTTCACCATATTGCCTAGACTACCTATAATACTTCACCATATTGCCTAGACTACCTATAATACTTCACCATAGTGCCTAGACTACCTATAATACCATAGTGCCTAGACTACCTATAATACTTCACCATAGTGCCTAGACTACCTATAATACTTCACCATATTGCCTAGACTACCTATAATACTTCACCATATTGCCTAGACTACCTATAATACTTCACCATATTGCCTAGACTACCTATAATACTTCAACATATTGCCTAGACTACCTATAATACTTCACCATATTGCCTAGACTACCTATAATACTTCAACATATTGCCTAGACTACCTATAATACTTCACCATAGTGCCTAGACTACCTATAATACTTCATCCTAGTGCCTTGTCCACCTATAATACTTCATCCTAGTGCCATGTCCACCTATAATACTTCATCCAAGTGCCTTGTCCACCTATAATACTTCATCCTAGTGCCATGTCCACCTATAATACTTCATCCAAGTGCCTTGTCCACCTATAATACTTCATCCTAGTGCCTTGTCCACCTATAATACTTCATCCTAGTGCCTATTCCACCTATAATACTTCATCCTAGTGCCTTGTCCACCTATATTACTTCATCCTAGTGCCATGTCCACCTATAATACTTCATCCAAGTGCCTTGTCCACCTATAATACTTCATCCTAGTGCCTTGTCCACCTATAATACTTCATCCTAGTGCCTATTCCACCTATAATACTTCATCCTAGTGCCTTGTCCACCTATAATACTTCATCCTAGTGCCTTGTCCACCTATAATACTTCGCCATAATTCCTAGTGTACCAAATTGACTGAATTAAAATGTTAACTCAATCCTACCAAAATGCATTAACAATTTTATACGACACTTTATATAATAGAGTTATTGATGCTTGTGACTATTATGTTAATTATAAGAATTATCAATGAGAGTAATTAATTAAAAAGTCCACACCATAAATATTTATTCTCTGTATGTAAGTCAACTATGAGGTCATTGGTCAACAGTGATGTGGCTGTTATCGTCACTACTCTGTGTGTGTGTGTGTGTAAAGGTCAGCATCCTCGCCTGGCAAGCGAGCGGACCCGAGTTCGATCCCCGGGCAGGGTGAAACTATGAGCAAGTTTATTTACGCCATTTGCCTCTGTCTAATCGATTTTCGGATTGTATTCCGGGGTAAATGGTTAGCCAGTGCAGTTGACGAGTTGTCCGGTGTTCTCGGACTATTCCTTGACCCTGGGTCATGCAACTCGTTAATTTAGGGAGTGGTTGTTTTATTGGCGACAGCTTCTACACCTTAAACAAATTTACGCCTAGGTGGCCCTAGAGCCGGCCATCCTCGTTACACGAGGGGCAACCATTGTGTGTGTGTGTGTGTCACTGATGATCATGTATTAATAGTAATGTATCTCGACAGGTCAGCATCAAGCCGCCGTGCAGCAGAGTGGCTTCAACGCCTCCATCAACGCGACTTACTCTATACAATATGTCTTCCTATTCTGCGCCCTCAGTCACTTGGTCATCACATCCCACTTTCGATGACTGACAACAAATATTCAATCTTATTAGATTCTAAAGTGATATCCATTGTTAAGATAGACGAAATTGTCTAAAAAATGTATATACTATTTTTGTAAATATCTTTAAAAAGATGGGTGAAACAAAATTATTTCTACGGCTTCATGCACTAATGTTTCTTAATTCAAGCTTCAATAAGGAGTGTTTCCATGTGACTTCACCAGCGACCACATATGTTTATTTTCATTATACTGCTGAAGTAAAAGTAAACTATGTATTATATATATATATATATATATATATATATATATATATATATATATATATATATATATATATATATATATATATATATATATATATATATATATATATATTAAACAAGAAAATTTTCAAGTATTTAATATTTCTTTGAAAGGATTTAGAAGAATTTTTGTTCTTAAAATTCATCATTTGTTTGAACAAAATCATTTAAATTTACACCTTTCCTTATTTTCTGGTTAAGTTCTTTAGTTTTTATAATGTCAATGTACTGTACAGTATATAGTGTATCTCCTGATTATTTTTCAATATACACACATACCATAATATAAACATGCACACAGACACACGCACACAGACAGGTATATATATATATATATATATATATATATATATATATATATATATATATATATATATATATATATATATATATATATATATATATATATATATATATATATATATATATATATATATATATATATATATATATATATATATATATATATATATATATATATATATATATATATATATATATATATGGGCACTTCGGGACCAAGCCAAAGGTACCTATAAAGTAAGGTGTTGTTCGCCAAAATCATTTCCTACTCAGCATGTAGAGACAGTAACAATAGACATAATCAGCCAAATACACAAGAATAACTCATATTCACTTTAATAGTGCGCACTCACTGTACTTTTGTTTGTGAAATTCATGAAATAAAATAAAATAAAATATGTATGTATTTATCATATTAATAAATGATGTATCCCACACCAATGAACAGTTGCAGGCCGCTGCTCTATATGCACTGGCAGGTAAAATAGATTAAGTATTGATAACAAATTTACGAGCAGTGGAGTAAAGATAAAACAGGTGACGTGTACAGACCCCACCTGTGTATACCTCAGCGTTCACCTTACATGACCTTTGTTTTTAGTTAATCCTGGACATTGTAAGAAGTTAGAAATATATCGGACAAATTAAATTACAACTCTGATCCTTATAACCTGGTAGTCATTGTAGACAGATACAGTGGAAGAATCACTCGGATAACGAAATCCGCTCAATCACAAAACAAAATTTTCATAACTGTGATTAGAGTTTAAATAAATAGCCACAAGTAAATTGATATACCGACTTTAGTATTATCACAAAATATGTACAGAAAAATATGCGACATAAGAAATCTTATCATGAGTCTCGTAAAACACACATTAATGATATCCACCCAAGAGATGAACCTAAATGGTCCACAACAACAGCTACAATAGAACACCCAAATATCACAGTTTGTTTTAATACAGGTAATGACTTCAATCGCTTTACAGGTAACACTCAGGTAAATAATTGCAGCTTCACTATAAAGCAATCACAATCTTACCTCATACTGACAGGCATTAAGGGAAATCCCTGCATCAGCATACCCATCAAAAAAACACCATATATTTTCTGAAACGTTTTCATTAAATGAGAAAAGCACATGGATATAATTGCTATAGGAACTATACCTTAATTACCTATTACATAAAAGAACAACTGGCCCATTATTTTGACTTGTTGTGGCTGATTCTGTACTCAAAAGTCAAGAAAATTTCCTTCACAAGATAAAAGATATTGCACAACAAAGAAAATACTGTAAATGCCTTACTCCTATGAATCAATAAACAACAAAAACACGCAGAACATCAAAGTACAAAACTAATAGGTACTGGCGGGTATGTAAGTTCAACCAAATTAAGAACCAAACAGTCTGTGAAGAGTTGCAGAAAGATCTCTGTGAGCTTCAAGAGTGGTCGAAGAAATGGCTGCTAAGATTCAATCTCACGAAGTGTAAGAGGCTACACCTGGGCCGTACCAACGGTAAGGAGACTTATCATATGTCCCAAAGGGACGAAGAAACTGCATTAATAGAAACTGAATGCGAAAAGTACCTGGTTGTGTATGTTGACAATGAACTGAATTTCTCGGGCCACTGTGAAAAGGTGAATCAAGCAACTAAAGAAGGTCGTTCAGATATCTAGATGGTCCATTCCTCGTAACGATCTTCAAGAGTGAGGTGCTTCCCCGCCTGGAGTACTGTCACACCGTCTGGTCCCCGAGATATGATGGGGACTGTCAGTTGATTAAAAATGTCAAAAGGAGGGCACCTCAGTTATCCAGAGAGATTAGAGCGCCTGCAACTGCCTACCATAGTACCATATACTACAAACGGGCAAGGGGGGGCCCTAATTGAAGTGTATAAACATCTCAATGGGCACTACTCAGTCGAGTGTCCATACCTGGAGCTGGCGGACGCCCGCTCCACAAGGGGTCACAGCTCAAAGTTGAATAAGTCACAAGTCTAGATAATTGTGAGGGCAAACTTTTTCGGGGTGAGAATTGCAAACTCTTGGAACAACCTGCCAGAGAATGTTGCAACGGCACCGAGTAGTGAGCTCTTTTAAGAACAGACTTGACCATCACTGGAGCAAGTTAAGATACATTCAGGAGACAGTGTATGATCAGCACTTGCCAACAGTGCGTAGCAGAGACGTAACCGACCGCCCAAGCGGCTACCGAGCCGATCAGTGGCGAAGAGGATAAAGGTAAAAGCTACTCACACGTTTGCTCATTAAATGGACTTCGGTTAATCTTATCAATATACACCAATTAATTTTCAGAAAATGTTCCTCAGAAAGACCTAAAACATCCCTGCAGCACAGAGTGACGAAGGCTATTCTTAACTATAACATCTTGACTATCCAGATAGACTGGAGAACTTAGGACTAACATCTCTTCAGATAAGACAATAGGGCGGATCTTATATACGTTCATATTCTTGAAACGGATGTAAAGCGTAAACCCGAGTCATTTTTATAACACCATGATCCATTAACACGAGAAGACTGACACTTTAGCGAGCTTGAAGTTCAGTCTTCTCGTGTTAATGAATCTTTAGCTAGCTTGAAGTTCAATCAGGACGAATATAAAGAGATACTTCTTCAAAGAGAGGATAAGACCGATGGAACAGTCTACCTTCTGAAACTGTGCAAGACTATCATAAACAATACGGAATACTACACAGGCAATTGACCTTACCTCGGCATGGCCACCTCTGGTTGGGGTGACCATTAGGTAATCTAAATGTATTGTGACAAACTAGTCCCATAGACCAGTACTCTGAACTTATATCTTCAGATCTCTAAAAACAAGAGGATAAGTTGCATAAAATTATAGTTCTAATGGCCAAGGTATTAGGCAGCTACCAAACAGGGAGGTACTACCGCCTGGGAAGATATTGGAAGCATAATGTGTTGTCTAATGGTAGACCCTGCTGCCATATGACATCACAAAAATTGTGACCAAGTCTCAGGCTGCTGATCTGACTTTCTGCCTCATTTACACACAATTGCAGGGTGTCAATTGCTTCACTTACTATTGACAACACAACATACATATATTGTTTCTCACTTTTGATCTTCTTTCATTTTTGTATTTCTTTGTGGTTCTTTATTATTATTATTATTATTTTTATTATTATTATTATTAATATTATTATTACATTTTGCCCCCCCCCAGGCCCTGATGTGGGTCAGTGACCTGTGCCTAGGTGGGCTAATCCCAAAAAAAAAAAAAAAAAAAGATGCTTAAAGCTACGGCTCAAAGTAATAGTAAGCCCTACAATGATATATAATATCGTTTTCTTTAAATCGAACGATTTTAGTGTTAGAAAACAACATATTTAAGGGGCACCTACGTTATTTTATCTTTTAAATTAAAGTTTTTTCATATAGTTATTCAATCAAATTGTCATACAAGGTCATGTTAGTTTTGTGTATATATATAATGACTGACAGTAAGTCAATTTTAGCATGAACAGCCCAAGAAAACCGTGAAAAGTTTATTTCCCTGTGAGATTCGGGTGACGAAATCAAATTACCGTACAATATAATCAGGGCCGGATTATGAGGAGGGCGTACCGGGCGCACACCCAGGGGCCCGCCCACAACATTGTAAACAAAAAAAGTTTTACAAACCTGTACCACAGAGCGATAAACAAGTGGAACATTGCCAAACACTCGCTGTGCACCACTTACCCTAACTCCACCAGGCCGCCACAAATATTTCCTACTAAAACTCATGTTTGGTGAACTAATTTAACTTATTTAACAGAGATTATAATAAAATAATAAAAAGGGTGTATAAATAAGTGAACACTACACCACACAAACTTCTTCAAGATCCAAAACTAATTCTCCAATCAGCAGTAAATTCGCTGGTTTCCTCAAAATGTTTCGCCGAAAGAAAACGAGACAGTTTGATGCCTATGAGGAAAAAGCAAAAGTTCTGGCAGGAAGCACTGAGTTTTCCATTCAGGTTGTCAGAGGCGATCAAACGTACGGCTTGCTCCACTGGATTATGGACGTTCAAGTGAAGTGGATTTCAGTCCAAGAGACAATTTTCAAACAAAATTCTTCCTCACAGTCATTGATCACCTAGTGGTATCCCTATACGAAAGTATTTCTGCTTACAAGTTGGTGAAGGATCGCTTCGGCTTTTTAAGCAATCTGGAAACCCGAGTGATGAGTCCGTCATCGCACACTTTGCGGCAACTTTGACGGGCAAACCAGCGGACAGCCCGTGCCCGTAGTTGAGCGAAATCAGCAGACTGCCCAGTGGTTTGGCGCCAGGCATGGACCGACGACGCTGCCAGCCACAAAAAGTTACACCTGGCTGTCAGTCTCTCACGGTCTCACCACGCACCACGAGCCACAGGTGGTGGTTGCTCGGTTTACTCGTCATCGTGTCTAGCCCTCCGTCCTCATGCACCACAGAACCTGCAAACCTCCACTGGTCCAGACAAGATACCCATACGGTTAATTGACCTTTATCGCCATTACCCGTGCCTGTGGAATGTCAAAAGTGACATGTACAAAGATAGAGACAAACGTGCAGCAGCACTCAAGGGAAATGCAGAGTAAATAAGGAAGATTATTGCCTCCGTTACCACAGGGAATATAAAGCGGAAAA